GTCCCCCGCGTCGCCGTCGCTCTCGTCGTCCGCAACTGCGGCGGCGCGCCCTGCTTCGCGAGCTCTTTCTTCAGCGCGTCCCAGGCCTTGGACGCCTTCAAGGCGCCTGCGGTCGATTTACCTTTCGTGCACACCTTGAGCAGCCAAGACTTTTGCATGTTCACGCGCACGAAGCTTATCTCTCCGAGGGGCCCTGCGTGGAGCACATTGATATCCTTTTCGGGGATGGGGGTGGTCTGCGCAAGCCAGCCTCCACGGATGCACAAGACCTTCTCCACGCACGCAGGGCTCCAGTCGCTCGAAGTCGGCATGTTTGCTACTGCGCTGAGCACAGCCGCAACTGCGGGCAAGGCGGTGGTGCGGGCAGTGGGGCCGCGCGCGGTTGGGCCAAATGGCGAGACGAATGAATCCCTCGGTCCCTGCGATCCCCGCGAGGCCCTCGAGGGTCCCCGCTCGCAGAATGCTTCAAAGCAGTGCCGCGGCACTGCTTTGAAGCATTCTGCGAGCGGGAGCCCTCGAGGGCCTTGGGGCCGGATGAGCTGCCGAGGAGGTCCCGTGCACACGGCGCGGGAACTGGCAAGAGGGGGAGTCGGCACCAGGATGGCCGCAGCAGGATGCGGAGAACATCGACGGGAGGGAGGGAGGGAGTGAGGGAATGAGTAGTGTCGGCTTCGAACTTGGGAGGAGGGAGGGAAAGGAGGAGGAGAGAGGGAAGAAGTGGAGGAGGGGCGAGGGAGGAGAGGGAGGAGGGAGGGAGGAGTTCTGTTTCGAACCTCCGTGCTCGATCGTCAGCGATCCGCTACTGCGGCGACACCTAACAGGAGCAGCGATACTGCAAACTACAGGACCGCTCCGCAACAACGGTCACGCCTGCGTCCTCCCCTCCGGCCTGTTGCCCGCAATTGCGGTCGCGCGAGCAAGCCGCCCTGACTGCCGCAACGCGCGGACGAGTGGGCGCAGCTCCGCGCGAACCCTGCCCAGATCATCGCCCTGTGCGAGTGCGACGACGAGACCTGCGCGGTACTCAGTGGGGAGCGCGACGCGAGGGACAGTGCAGCCGCAGTTGCGGACGATACGTTTCGGAATCGGACTCACTGCAACTACCTGTGCATTAAGGGCGGCGAGCCATCAGGGACCCTCCTTGTTGGCATCATGGACCGCAGTGGCGGCCACATTGAACACGTCGACTTTGCGAGGCTCTTCCACAATCAGGAGAAGTCCAAAACGAAAAAAGAAAAAGAACAAGTCCGCAGTTGCGGATGTTCCTGCGCCAAAGTGGCACAACAAGTACTCCAGGGCGATGGTGGTGCGCGTCCACCTGGACCAGGCCGTGCCCCATCTGGGGTTCCTTCAACGTCATGGCGGTGCACGTCCACCACAGCTTGGCCAAACAAGACTGGGGCGTCACGAAGCCCCATGAGTTCTACAACTGGTTCGTCGCCTACGTCAGGGAGTGGAACGTGAAGGTCTGCATGGGGGACTTCAACATGTGCATGTTCCAGCTTGTGTCCTGGTGCCGCAGTTGCGGCCTGACTGTGGACGTCGCCGCGTGGACCCCCTGGAAGACAACAGGCGGCCAGCCCAGGGCAGACAGCATGGCGATTATGTTCATGAGCTGTCCTGGGCAGTACAAGCTTCACCATGGCCTGAGTGTTCTGCGCGACCGCGAGGGCGGGTTCTTGACGACCCAGCATGATCCGTCTTTCCGTGTCTTCGACTACACGAATGGCCCCGGGAAGATGCTTCAGACTTACGTTCCCAAGGCTGAGGCCGTAGAAGACAAGATGCGCGCCTTCCTGGCGCCACCTGGCGAATCCTTGACCGCAGTTGCGGATTTCGAGGAAAGGATGGCGCGCAGGGCACGCGAGGAGTTTGTGCGTCATCCCTTCAGAGTGAAGCAGGGCAACCTCGACGACAAGATATGGCACGGCGCCTTCGGCAGGGCGATGCGCGGAGCGCGCTTCCCCCTGGTGGCTTTCACGCACAATACGCGCCGCAGGTCACCTGAAAGACTCGCCGCGAGGTTGGAAAGGCACGCACAGAAGAGGGGCAAGGGGGCCAAAGAAGACGGCAGGAAGGGCGGCAAGAAGGGCAGCTACGCACACGCCGCAGTTGCGGGGAAGGGCGCCGGACCCCAGATGGAAACCGCAGTTGCGGGGAGAGACGCTGGGGCTGAGCGAGCAGAGAACACGCCGCCGCCGCAAGCTGCCAGCGGCGACGATGCGACCCCTTCTTATGCCGCAGTGGCGGCTGGGTCCTGGGGCGCGAGCGGCAGCGGCGCATGGGAGGCGCGCTGGTGGGACTGGCGCTCGAGCGGATGGGGTGCTGATGGCGCGCAGTGGTGGCCCTCTGATGAGGCCGCAGTTGCGGGCAATGCCCCTGAGGGCTCGCCTCCTCAGCGCGAAGTCGAGTGGGGCTCGAGCGGGCGAGCGGCCGAGCGCCACCCGTGGACCTGGGAGGCGCAGCGTTGGCGATGGCCGCAGTTGCGGGCAAGTGGAGCATGGCGTTGATAGCCGCAGTTGCGGACAGTGTACGCAGGACAAATCATCATCAACATCATCATATCATCAGCCTCTTGTGAAGACGTTCGAAGCAGTGCCGGGGGACTGCTTTCGATCGTCCCCTCGAATCCGTTATAAAGGCTTTCGGATTACGGATATGTTGCCGCTGGTGGGGGTCTCCTTGGGGCCTCTTGGGTGCCTCATGGGGGCCTCTTGGGGCCGCTTGGGGGCCTCTTGGGTCCTCCAGGGAGCTTCGTTGGGCGGAGCGCAGGGATTCACGGTTCGTGGTCATTCTTTTGGGCCTTTCTTAGGGCCGTCTTGGAGCTCTCTTGGGCCGCCTAGGGCGCCTCTTGGGCCACGTTGGAGTTATCTTGGGTTGTTTTTGGGGCCTCCTGGGAGCCTCGTGGGCCGTCTTGGGGTGGTCCTGGGGGCCTCGTGGGGGTCTCGTTGGGGCCTCGTGGACGGCCTTCAACGCTGTGAAGGCTAACAAGTTGGATATGCTGACAACGCACGCTTCCATAAGGAAATTTACAGATTTCGGTTCCTGAGGGGCTTCTTGGGAGTCCTCTTGGAGGCTTCGTGAGGTGTCTTGGCGGCCTTTGGGCCGTTTAGAGCTCATCTTGGGCGTCTTGGAACGATCCTTCGGCGACTTTGGAATCTCGTGGACCGTCTTGGCGGCTTCTTGGGAGGCGTCGTCAAGTGCTGTCGTGCAGCCCAAGAGCGAGCCTAGGGTGAGTTCGATCCGTGGTGGGGCCCGGGCCGGGGGAGGTGGTCAAAGTCTCGGTCTGGGGTCCTTGGGGGGGATATGGGGGGGGCAGTCTCACGCGCCTGGAGACCCACAAGGGGTCGGCGGATTAAGGAATGTGCACAGGAGGCTGCAGACCCTGGAGGGTTCCTTATCTGATGAGGGCGGCGACACTATCCACTGCCAATCCGCGATTGGAATTCCATTGGCTTCCGGGCCCTGGATTCCTCGGCGCGAGGCGGACCTGCTCGTGCGGGCGGCGTTGCAGGCGCCCGACGAGGACGGCGACGATTGCGTGATCGGCGGCGGCAGCTTCGTGGAGGCGCCCGCGGCAGGCGAGGGTCGTGCCGCGTCCTCGGCAGCTGATGCCAAGTCGGCCGCGCTGGCGGAATGCGCACGCGATGGGCCAGGCGATCGGTGCAACGAGTGCCTGGCCCCAGGAGTTTGGCTGGTGGGCCAGCATGTCGAAGTGGAGGCCTTCGCGGAGGGCCCGGCTCTTCGGGCTGGCGGCTGGCGGAGCAGCGCGCGCGGCAGCAGGCCCAGGACGTTTGGGAAGAGCTGAACGAGCTGCTCGTGGGCTCCCTCGCCAACATCAGGGGCACCCTGCTGTTCTCGGAGCAGGTGCGAGCGGGTTCTCGCTCCTGCAGGTCGGTCCAGGAAATGCGGGGCCTCATGTCTTTGTGGCGCTCACATGGCGCAACCGCCACCCAGCAGTCGGCGAAGCTCATGGGCACCGTCAAGGCCTGGAGCGGTCTCCTTCGCTCTGGGCGGGGCGGCGCGGTGGCCTCGGACGGCTTCGCGACGGCTGAGAGGACCGAAGCGAGCCGGCAGTCCGAGAGCGAGCCCATGAGCGACTGCGCCGGCGAGGCCGACGCCGCTGCTGAGGCAGATCCGCTGCGGCGGCGCCGAAGCCAGCGCGAGCAGGACGTAGACGACCTGATGAAGGCCTTCTGCGCGGAGATAAACGGACTCGAGCGGTCGTATTCCGCGTGCGACCCGTGAAGCAGCTGCTGGAGCGCCGCGGTGCGCGCGGCGACCGCGCGGGCGCGGGCTGTGGACCCCGGGCTTGCGGGCCTGCGAGGGGCGCGTGGATAGCCGCTGCTCGCGGGGGGGTCATGCCCGTTGGCCCTGTGCTGGCACTGTTTGGTGCTTTGAATGTGTCGTGCATAACTCGCGGGCCTCGCGGCCCTTGAAGAGAGAAAATAAACTGCCCCCATTGTCCGCAGCCATTTTGGCCCCAGCTGGCTCGGCCCCCCAGGCGCGGCGGGCGGTGCGAGCACGGTGGCTGCGGGCGGCGCCTCGGGAGGGCGCCAGGCGATGGCCGCGTCGCGGCAGCAGCGGCGAGCGCGGGCCAAGGCCTCGTCGGACAGGCTCGGGGAGCGCCTCAGCGCGAAGGTGGAGGAGCTCCGCGCGGGCCTCGATGCGGCCCTGGAGGCGCTCGACGCGGTGGCCGGGTGCGACGGCTTAGCGGACTGCCTGGCGGCTTGCGCGCCCGCGCCGGTCGCCCCGCTGGCGGGCCGCAGCCCGATGGAGCTGCAGGGGCTGCGGCGCAGCGTCGCCACGCGCGGGGCTCGCGCGCCAGGCAACCCTCGCAGCGCCCCCGCGGCCGCCTTGCGACAGGCGGCGGGGGGGCCCAGGCTTGGGGGGGCAGCTGCCATGCAGAGCGCAGGCGGCGGCGTTGAGTTGGGCGCGCTGGATGAGCCAACTGCAGATGGCTACGCGAAGCAGGAGCCCCCGCACTTCACGGTGGAAATATGTTCAGAACCAGTGCCGCGGCTGCTGGATGGCGCTGCGCCTCCTTCTCGGGCGAGCGGCCTGCCCCTGCGGGCGATGGCCGGGGTTGCTGGTGGTTGGCGGCGCCGCCGTTCGTGCCAGGCGCGGGCCAGCGCCACGTGCGCCCTGGCGCTGACATCGAGGCGCTGCTGGGCGAGCTGGCTGGCGCCGCGTGCGAGCGGCCTTCGTCTGGGAAGCTGCCGACGATTGGGGATATGGGTGCAGATTTCCTTGGCGAGGAGCGGGGCGAGCTGTGCATGGCGGACGCGGCTTGGCCGCCTGTCCCTGCGCCTGTCATCGGCGGGCCCCTCTTCGGAGGCGTGGGCCCATTGTCGCCCGCGGGGCGGACAGGGGCGGCGTCGGGCGGCCCAGCCGAGTCGCGATCTGCAGGTGGAGTCAACCGATGTTGATCCCGACGAGGGCATCAAGTTGGACGCGCGAAGCAGGGTCCCAGTGCCAGTATCTGCGCGCAGCGGGAGCAGCGGCAGCACGCCCCGTCGCCCAGCTCGGCGCGCCCCGCGGATGTGCAGGAGGCGAAGCTGGAGCCCAGCGCGATGCTCGAGGCGCAGCAGGAGGCCAGGCGCGAGCCGCCGCGGCAGAGCAGGCGGTGGGCTGCCCGAGCCACCGTCGCTCGTGAGTGGCTCCAGGAGGCCCCCATGCAGGTCGGCGCGACATCGGGGGAGAGCCAGCTGGATGAGTCGGCCTTCGACGGCGTGGAGCGGATGGACGACTGCAGTTTCCTCGATGAGGTGTTCTCGGACGGGGCGGGCGCTGCTTGGCCGCCTTGCCCAGCGCCCGGCGTCGGTGCGTCCCTCTACGGAGGCGTGGGCCCGACCGCGGGCGAGCTCGGCCCTGGGGCGAGCTCGGAAGCCCTTCTCGGCGCTGTCGATGAGGAGGCTGCCGCCGCCAAAGCAGCGCAGCTCTGCAAGGCGCGTGTCTGGCTCGCGGAGGCTGAGCTGTTGCGGCTTTGCGAGAGCGGCTTTTGCTTCTTCAGTGCCGAGTGGAATGCCGCCGAAGCCGCCATCGACGAGGCCACGATGCATCTTCGGGAGGCCGAGGAGAAGCTCCGCAAGTGCCGGGCCCGCTCGCGCGACATACTGCGGCCGTTCAGGCCGCCGCCTCCGACCGCGGCGCGACGCAGGAAGGGGGGCCGTGGAGCAGCTCCGCGCGCGCGGGGCCCGCCTGTGCGACACGGCGTGAGCGTTGACAGCGCGCGCTCGCCCTGTGCGCGCTGTTCGTTTGTAAATAGATAAAAAAACTCCCGCTCTAACTTCGCGTGGCAGCCAGTCTCTGAATGCTGCACTGCTTTAAGCTCACTTGAAGAACGGTGCTGGCGAAGCAGGTGCAGTGGGCTCTCTCTCTCTCTCTCTCTCTCTCTCTCTCGCTCACTCTCTCTCTCTCTCTCTCTTTTTTTTTTTTTTTTTTTTTTTTTTTGTTGTTTCTCTCTCTCTCTCTGTAACAGCGTGCTGCGACTCGTGTGCTCGTAGTGGTCACTGAGATCCCACGGCGTAGTTCATGTCAGGGCTCGTCTCGATTTCTCCGATTTGATGCGGTTCGACTTCGATTGATTCCGATTCCGATTCGCGTCGGCTTCGGATTTAGATTAGGGGTCCGATTTCTCATTGGACGCACACTAGCCTGCCGATTTCCGCGGATACGTTTTTCCCGACCTGGTTGCCGATTTCCGCCGTTCCGATTCATGCTGACATCCGAGCCGGATTGTCGGTTCGATTATGGGCTCCCCTGCCTGTGAAAAGAGCTTCTGGCTTTTGATAGAGTCACACCGTATTCGGCTTGCAGGCTCTGGCCAGAAGCGGTTCCCGTGATACTCTTGCCCGGCGGATTGGCCAAACAGGGGCGTATGTGTTGTGTGTCTCCATATTTTGGTTTCCGCTTGGCGGACCTCGGACCACATGCGATAAAGTCTCGGCATCTTTCCAATGCCTTTGAATTGGGGAAGGTCACCTGCTGATCTGTTCTCGGGGTCAGCACCGAGACTACAGCCCGCAACTGCGTGGGCATGCCGCCCACCTGTTCGATCAGGTGTAAACACTTGCAGACCGTGCCGGCCTGTTTCAAGCTGAACTTTGGAAGTGCTTGGGGTGAAATCAGTCCCACCTCGACGCCGTCGTGTATGAGAATTGCTTGGCTGCGTCTATCAAATCCTGGGGTTGAAGCTTAGGAAGCTGAGGTTCGCGAAGCCCTTGGGGTGCCTGATACCTGGGTCGGGTCGAGGTCGTCTCTCACAGTTTATTTAACCTAGCAGCTTCGCGTTCTGTCCAGGAGATCTTTCAGGGAACCCCTGTAGGAGCCCAACTGTCCAAATTCTTGGTCGATCTACGAACCCAGCCAGTATTCCCTTGAGTGTCCACCTGGACCCAGTCTCTCCGTGATTTTGCGGCCCCTGATTTTCCACAGTTTCCCTCCCTCTATGAGCTTAGTGATGCGATCCAAGATCCGGTCCAGAGCCTCGAAGCCCAGGGCGTTAGCTTATATTTCGAAGACAAAGAAGTGGGGACTCTGCGTGGTTCTCTCGAGGCAGTTCTTGAGGCTCTCGCATTGCTGAAAGTCATGAGAGGGATCTTCTAAAATAGTTTGCGCGGAAACTGCTGCACGGCAGCCCGCAACCAGCGGAGAGGTGTTGCGTAAGATTTCTCACCGACGCGGTGTTGCTTAGCGGATTGGGAGGCCATTGCCCATTTAATTCTGGAATGGCAAGCTTTGGGTCTCGAACTCTTTTTGAAAATTGCGTCGGTCACATCCGCTATTGTCCATTCCAGGTCCCTGGCCAAGTACTGATGAACTTGATTGAGAAGTGTCTGCTGCTCCTTCTGGTTGAGTAGCTGTGCAGTTCGGGAAAGAGTGGTCTCATTAACGTCGAGCGCAGCCTCGGTAGCATGCCAGTCTCTCTCTGGCCTCCGAAGTCCAAACGCAGGCTGGGTAAGTAGCGTCTGCGGCTTGCACAGCACGGGCGCGGTGAAACTCTCGTCGGTCTATATGTTTATACTGGCTGGTCTATGTGGCGACAGTAGGCATGCAATGTGTACACGTGGCTCTGACATAACATGCTCCAACGGTCCCAAATGCACGAGTTGTTGACCTTCCTGGGGTACAGGGAGGTCCTGGACACCAGCATCAAAGCCAGACTTGATCAACACAAACTCCTGATGACGGGTATTCAGTAGAGCTGAACTGGCCTGCCTGATGTATTAGATGCCACCTTTGTCGTTGGCACCACGGCGCAGTGATTGTCTGCTCTGTGCACAACTTTGTACCCTGCGCGCGTCTGATGTGGGCCTGAATCGTGTTCTGCACCTGCGGCCAGCAGCTGCCATCGACCGTGACGAGCTTGATGCTGTTAGGAATGAGAGTTTGTCGCAGCCTTCACCGCCGCGGACTGGATGCCCTCCTTCGCGATCTTGAGCTTCTTGGCGATCTCGTCATTGCTGAGGTCGGCTCCGTCCATGAACTGTTGCGCTGCCTGCAGGCTCTCCAGGCCCCCCTCACGTGCATCCGCCGTTTGTTCATCGCCGTCTGGCACTGCTGCATCTCCTCCTGCCCGCTGCATGCGCGCTGCATCCCCCAAGGCTGTCGCACCTGGCGGTGCAAGTGCAGCGCGCGCACCTCCTTTGCTTGCTGCAGCGGCGGCCGCAGGGACTGGGGCTCGATCTGGTGCTGCGCTGCTGCGTGTGGTTGCTCTGCGGGTAGTTTGTTTCCTTGGTTTGTTGCTGCTGCTTGCTGGTGATCTCGTCCAGTGTCTTGCCCAGGTGCTTGTCCAGCGCGGGCGGGAGCTGATCCTTGGTCTGGTCGATCTTAGACGACACGGCGCCTTGAGCTCCTCCGCACGATTCTTTGTTGAGTGATGTTTTTTGGTGCCGCCGCCTGCGCAGCCACCTGCAACTGGGCCTCCACTTTCTGAATCTCCGTACTGATCTCCTGTTAGTCATCAACCGCGCGGCCGTGCTTCTAGCTGATGGTGACGAGTTGGCCTGTGAGCTTGGCCTGCTTGTAGGCCTCGACCGCGTCCTTGTACTGCTTGCTGCTGTCTCCTGTCCACTGCTGCCAGCTGGCCATCTGGGCTGGGGCGATCTCCATGGAATTGTGATGTTCGTCGTATTGGCCTTTGCCTGTGGGTTCTGCTTCGCCTCTGGGATACACGTACTCGGTGTCGTCCATCGACGTCCCTTGGTCCACGAGACAGACGTCACCAGTGGCCTTGACCTTTCGCTGTAGAATCTCATCCAGCTGATGGCTGCGGTGCCCACGACACTGTGCGACCCTTTGCGGGGACTCCTGTGTCTCCCTTGCCCTTGCCACGAACATGCGTCTCACCTCCCTGCTTGTGGGTGGCCAGCTTCGATCCACCCTTGGTGCAATGAGAAGCCCCTCGCTCACAGAATGCCCATCCATTGCATGACTGCCAAGGACATACAAATTGCTTACCACGGCCAGGGGCGATCGCGCCACTGCTGTCAGGAACACTACGTATCACAGTGCGGCACAGCCCTCGTGCGATGACAAGCCACGCGGTGGCGCGGCAGGTTCGTGGCGAAAGCGACGTGGCGGGGGAGCCCAATTTCACCAGCGTAGGCTGAAAAAGATGCCGAACAGCCACGCTGTTCTGACTGCCGCGGGCTAGCGGTATCCACATGGTTCACCAGACAGACTTGCATCTTGAGCCAAAATGGCTAATGGTAGGGGGGAGGGGGAGGAGGAAGTTGAGGAGGGGGAGGATGAGGAGAGGGGGGGAGGGAGGGAGGGGAGGGGAGGGGAGGTGAGGGGCGGAGGGAGGGAGGGAGGAAGGGAGGGAGGGAGTCGTCGTCGTCGTCGTCGTCGTCGTCGTCGTCGTCGTCGTCGTCGTCGTCGTCGTCGTCGTCGTCCGCGTCGTTTGCTGGCGGCTGCGGCGACGACGTCGTCGTCGTCGTCGTCGTCACCCCGCGTGTGTGTGTGTGTGTATGTGTGTTTGTTGTTTGAACCCCTTGAATAATTTTCCGGAGAGGGGGGGGGGCGGGGATTTTTACCTAACAGCGAAGACTGATAGGTTTCTAGTAGTGTCAAAAGAGCTCACAGATCACTTCACAGGGGGGTCCGGGCAGGTGTTGGGGCGTTTCCGGGCGGCATGAGCCGGGCTCGTTTTTCACCAACAGTCACACACTTCGTCCTCTTCGCCTTCCCAGAACTCCATTCCCAGGCCACATTCTGGGGGGCCGGATGCAACAGTCACACACAAAGTGCTCTTCGACATCCCAGAACGCCATTCCCGGGCCACATTCTGGGGGGCCGGATGCAACAGTCACACACTTCGTGCTCTTCGAGTTCCCAGAACGCCATTCCCGGGCCACATTTTTGGATGCCCGGAGCCAACTGTAGGCCACTTCGTGCTCTTCTATTTCCCAGAACTCCATTCCCGGGCCACATTTTGAATGCCCGGAGCCAACTGTAGGCCACTTCGTGCTCTTCGAGTTCCCAGAACTCCATTCCCGGGCCACATTTTGAATGCCCGTAGCCAACTGTAGGCAATTTCGTGTCTTCTAGCGCAGGAATCGAGTTCCCAGAACTCCATTCCTGGGCTACATTTTGGATGCCCAGAGCCAACTCTAGTCCACTTCCTGGTCTTCGAGTTCCCAAAACTCCATTGCCGGGCAACATTTTGAATAGCCAGACGCTTCATATTCCTTCCGCCACAGCTGTGTTTGGTTCAGGACTTGCTAGTGACACTGCAGTCCTCTGCATTCAATTGGCCACTACATTCATTCACTGCAGTCCACTGAGTTTTGATTGCAATGGCGTTCCCCTGGCCGTACCCCCATGTCCAACGTTCATCCGCAGCCTCTGCTCCGCGAGGCTCGTCCGAAGTGTCGCCGCCTCGCGGTGCTTCTCAGCCTGCGCCGCCTCGCGGTGCTTCTCAGCCTGCGGAGGAAGGTGGACAGACGCCTGGTTCTGGCGCTGTGCAGCCTGCGTCTTTCACGGTCGCCTCGTTCAATTTCGGGTTCGAGCAGGGCATGATGACTGGTAAGCAGGCGGCCACTCACTGCGCTAACTTCGGAAGGTTGTGCGCCAAGATAGTGGAGACCGCTGATGCTGATATGGTCTGTGGCTGCGAGGTCGGTGCGTTCCGTGAAGGCTTTCGCCGAGCAGGGATCAACGTGACAGAGATCCTCAGTAAGCCTTTCGGTGATGGCATTCGCTTCTTGGAGGTCGACAACTACTTGACTCTCTGGGGGTTCCGCGGTGCTTCTCAGCCTGCGGAACT